CAGCCAGGGTCAACCCACCACAACAGGACAGAGTTTAGATTGTTCAGATAGTTCAACTACAGCCTCTGAAGACTAACTAATAAAAAAACCTGAATACTTAGCTTGAACTAGCCCAAAGGAAGACTGATATTTTCATGTATTTCAAAAGCAAGGACATTATTATTGACTGTTGAGGAGGTAAGCCCTTGTTTTGATGAAAAGTGTTGGTCACCTGGCTTCTCAGTCAGCCATGGCCTATGATTATCTTTCTCTTCTCCTTTCATGTAGGATGAACATATTACTCCATAGCTCAGAGAGCTTACACAAATGAGTTAAGAGACTTCTGTGGTATACACATGGCTGTAGACAGGATGGGCTTTTCTGTTGCCACTGGCACAATCAGGCACACTACAGAGAACAGCACAGCAATGATGACTAACACATGAGAAATGAAATTTTTATATAGCAGAGAAAGAAATTGGTGTTCTTTAACCATTCTGCTCCTGCCAAATGTATTGCACCTCCCAGCACCAACACATCTCAAACAGTATAAAGCCAGCAGAGAGAGGACAGTGCAGCATGACTGACATTTCAGTTATTTCAGCTGAAAATCAATTACCTAGATGTATGTAGTAGTAGTTTTCCCACATTAAAATGTTCTAATGTAGTAAAAAAAGCAAACACAAAAAGCCATGGGTACTTGGAGTTCTTGCTAAAATGACACCTCCTATCTTAACCCACAGTCACCCTTTAAATGTGGTATTTGTGATGTGATTTGAAATGTGATACTGGGGAAAAAAATCAAGACGACGAAGCAGCCCCGATTGCATTCCAGGATTTGGTAACTTACAGTCAAGCATCATCCTGCCCAGAACTTTCTTCTCTAGTGTTTCTTCCACTTCTGTCATCAGCCATGGAAGGAATTCTGTCTCAATATCTATAAGAATTTAGCAGGAAGAAAGAGAAATTTCTTTTTATTAAGGATGAATGACAGGATCTTGAGACTGTTTTTTCATTTTGTACGAGCATTAAGGGATGAACATCCTTACTGAAAGACACTTGCTTTGCAAGAGCCAGATGAAAGCTCTAAGGTGTTGTTGGGTTTCTTATCTCCTGCCTCTCTTATTGAGGCTCTACATCATTATGGCACCAGACCGGAGTCCTCTCAATTACAGGGATTTTTCAAAGGGGTCTGGCACCCTTGAAGGGCTAGCACAGATGAGATACACAGTAATGTTCTCGTGAGATGAAAATAACTATCCTGAACAAGTCAGGAGAATAACACATCCTGCCCTGCTTTCCAGAGATGTCTGGCTTCTGGTCTGCTGAAAGCATTTATTCCCTGTGACTAAAGAGCTGTTGCTTACCCATGTATTTCTCAAATCATGTTCTTTGTACACCGTGGTCGTAAAGCATGCCCTGTTTGCAAAACACAGTTTCTGCATTTGCCCTATGACTCATTCTGGACAGAATGGAACCTTTCCCAAGCTGTGGTCTGTGCACCTCTGCTGGGCCTGGGGAAGCAGGGTGCAACAACGTAGCCCATAAGAAATGCGGCTGATTCTAAAAGCTTGGAAGTCAGCAATGTACAACTCCAAAATCATTTTCAGGGCCTAATTCTAATTGACTAATTTCTCATACAGATTTCTTTGCCTGTCCTATTTAAATACATTTACTTCAGTTTGGATCTCGCTCTCTCTCTCTGCTCTACCAGTTCTAGCCACCCATTTATTTCTCTCCAAAAGCAGTTGTTCCATTGTCACACTGTCAGCTCTTGCCTATTCTTGACTACTTGTACAGATGACCAATAATGTTTGTGTTAAAAATATGAGTTTGGAAACTGTTCAGCCACAAATGTAAAGGAATAAAGTCTTATGACATTATTCTAAATAACAGGAAAATAAGCTATGTTTTATGGTTGTTCTGACCTTTATATTATTCAGTTTGCATATTAAAAAATAAATAATAAATACAAACCTCTTTCTATAGGGTCATAAAAAAATCCACTCTCACGAAGATTGTTGAAGACCGAGGGAATAAGATCGGCCAAGTAACGCTGAGCAAATGCCCGAGCTGCAATTTTCTCTGTGGTCTCTTTCTGTTTCTGCAGCATTTGCATATGCTGGAGTTTGCGACGTTCCTGTCAAGGCAATATTGCATGTAAAACTTTCAGGCCTTTAGCTGTTACTCCTTTGATCTAGACATTGAAAAATGATCACAGTGTGAGAGTCATAAATAGCAACGATAATCGAAAATATGGTATTTGTGGCCTCTAACTTTCACAAAATCTCCTCATATGAAAGAGTGCTTGAAAGCAAGCTTGTACTCAATCTACTCAGTACTAAAATCCACAAGGACTAGAGGGAAACATGCTCCTTTGGTATACCCTTTCTGATTTTGGTAAGCCCTAAAATAAGGGCCTTGCAGCTGGCGAAATGAATCTCTTCTCTGATACCTTAGTATGCATTGATCTCACAACTCTTTGCTTTATTATTGCAGATCAAGCTGATCGTTGACCTTGGAATGAGATGAAGTTAGGTCAGGATCTTCTGAACTTTTCATCTTTCCAATATTATAGCCTATTTGATGTAAGAAAAGATTTGAACTCAAATTGGTCCAGGAAAACATTTAAAAACCCAATTATAAAAGGCTGATGAATAGAGAATAATTAAGACTTGCCTTTTAGTACTAATTTATACTATTTATTTGATAGTACTAATATAGCTTAATACTTGGAGATCTTGAGAGGTATGTGTGCACATACAGTACTGCATGCCTTGGGTGTGAAAGACTAGGAGGTGTCTTGCTTACTTTCAAGCACTCCATTCATTTAGCAGTTATTCTAATGAAAAGGCTTGAATAACAGCTGCACCAGGTACAGAAGAAAATGCTGCTGGGTTTGGCCTCTTGATCGGGTGTCCAAGTACACCAGGTCACTTGAGCATGGCTGCTCCAAATAAACGCAACAGTATGGTGCTCGTGCATGAGAGCAAATGGCAGAGTGCAGCTGTATGGCACCAAAATGCTTTGAGGAATATCAAATTTGTGCCTTTTGGGCACATCCAGCTTATTTCACAGATTTTCTTTCCGTACTGGAAATGGTTTTCTCTCTTCTCATGAGCATTCTTATAAGTCCTACCTTCTCCTCTCTGTATCGCCTGTCCTGCTCTTCCAGGCGCTGTACTTCAGCAAGCTCTGCATTACGCAGCTCTGCATAAGCATGCTGACGTGCCCACAGCTGGGCCAGCTCTTCTTCCTCCATGACTTCCAGCAGAGCTTGCTCAACTGTTTTCCCAATCAACACTTCCAGGATCGGCTTGACTTCAACATCAAAGTCAAACAGCTGAGGGTGGGAGTCAGGGAAACAAAGATAAATGCCCCTTGATCACAACCACTCTTAACACCTTGGCAAGGAGAAAAGGAGGATGAACGAAGCCCTTATGCTGAAGGCAGGGCTGAAAAGTTCAGGTGGGGTCCAGTGTCAGCTAAGGCAAGAAACATGAATGTAACTGGGGGCCATGTGATGAGTGGGCACCACACACCCTACCACAGCCACTGCGACGGCTGCCAGGGAGAAGCAGAACATTCACCTGGACCCTACTTCTGTGTTCCCAACCTGTTCTCAGGCTGGACACCTTCTACGGGAGAAAGCATTTCACAACACTCTAGCTCTTACCTGAAAGCAGCAGAACCAGTGCACATGGAGTAGCACTTTCTTTAATTTTGCACTTAACCTCAAGGCAGACATTGGAGACTTTTTTTTTTTTTCATGTTCTGTGAGGATAAGTTCCTTTCTGTTTCTGCCTGAATTTTGCATAAGAAATGTTTTGAATGGAAGACATTTTCTGACAGCACTTGTAAACCTGACTTTGCTTCATACCTCTCCTTCTTCTATTTGCGTGGCTACATCTTTTCCTGTTTTGGCTGGTATGAAGAACGGAGTGGATGGTCTGTCCAAAAATGCATCTGTTTGACACTCTATATCAACCTCTATTACCCGGTCACTAATCTCTTCCAAATACAGTTCTAGGAAAAAAAAAAGCACAATGAATGCTGAAAGTTGGATTCTTTTTAACTCCAAACTATTCACTCTGCAGGGTGAATTATATCCAAAAAGTGCAATAAAATGTCTTCTATAAAGTTTTAAAAAAACAGACACCTCAACTTAAACCATCGATCAGCTTGCTGCATAGGATATCTGATGTCATCTCTGTAATTCAGGTGCACTTCTTGGAAGTGATTCCTAAAAAGGCATTTCACTTAGTAGGTTTCAAAAGTCAGAGTCTAGACCATTTCTGGCCACCTTGCAGAATAAACAGTTCTTGGTAGGGTCAATGGGATAGGACAATTTCAAAAAAAGGATAATGATTGCCTATCCACTAATGAGTAATATTGAAACCACAAATTTTTGTCCATGGTATGTGGCAAAATAGAACACTGGATCTGTTGGGTTTAAAGAATGATATTCTGCTTCTGGCCCCACTGGAAGTGGCCTTGAGGTAACCACACACCTATAACAGCATCTGCTTGATTTGAATTATAACTGTCTATCTCCTACTGCAGAGATAAATAGCCTGGCTCAAAAAATAAGGTCTGTGGAGTGCTTTAAATTATCTGCAGTAGTCAGTGGGAAGGATACAAGACCAAGACTTCCACACTAGATCGGCTCCTTCTGCATCCAACAGTATTTGAATGGTGAAAAGCCGCTGTGTGCATTGGAGGTGATTTAGGAGGTTCAGCGGGGCTGGGGCAGAGGGAATGTTGAGAAACCAAAGACTATGACTGATTAGCATGTAACACAGCTTTTTTCCCAGTTTGTAAGTCAGTCTAATCTGAAATGATTTTCAGAGGGTACAGCAATACATTACACTCACTTCATAATTACCCAACTGCCAAATTTTGTTTTTCCTACAAATCAAATTGTTTTCCCACAAATAGGGCAGTTTCCTATTCTAAACTAGGGTGTTCTCAATTTTTAATAGTAGTCTTATTCTTAGATGTGCCTGCACTCTTAAGCAAAATTTTTTTAAAAACCCAATTTTAAACATATGCCAAACTTCTCTGATAATACTGGAAAAAGAAAGAATAAATTAAGAAGTCTTGACTAGTGTTCAGGAATGTACACCGAAAACTGAAAAACAGAGCCTCTGGGAAAATGTCACTAATTAGCCAAGTTTATTAAATACAACTAAAAATAAGGAGTTATAATGGAAAGGATTAGAGAACCTCTGATTCTAGAATTCTATGATTCTAACCTTAACCCTATGTGATTCTACCAATGCAGCATCAATTTAGCAAGTGAATATAGATCAGCAAGTTTTTGTTTACAGATGAATATTTAAAAAAAAAATCAGCCTTTTACCTGTCTGCACATGAATGTGCTCTCTGCCTTCCACAGGCTCAGGTGTTCTTGGTTGCACCTGCTCTTTTGCACGCTTTCTAGCCAGTGCTCTTTTCCGTGCTTCCCTCTGCCTTTGAATCTCAAGGGGATTGGGTTGGGTAGTCTGAACAAGGGTGAAGAAGAAAAAAAAACCCCACAAAACAGAATACACTTTATACTTGAAAATGAGACTAATTTCTCTCTACAGAAAAACAAAGGTTGTTGTTTGATTTTAATGCTACAAATCTAGCATTTCAGACTTACTTTTCTGGGTCCTGACCCTAAATTTTCAGTTATCTTAAAGACTGTAGGCATGAAACTAATAAGGTATGCTAACTGCCTACAGACACATACTAATGGCATCTCACACTAAGAGCAATTAGTTGTTATTTGGAAGTGGATATTGTATACAAAATTTTGCTTTGTGAAATAAAGCCTATTAAAATGGCATGTTCTTGCTGACAAGTGAGAGTTTCTAGGTAAAGTTTTAAGAAGGTCAAATGGACTTAAGTCCACTTATATTATCAACAGAATTGTTTGCTAGATAAAAATTATAGGTTCTTTATTGCTGATGAAGCAAAAGAAACCCATATTAACTTTTAAATTCAGTACTCTATTTACGGATTGAAATGAAGGTAAGTTTTTAACTTCTTAAACAGAACACATGAAATTCATTCTAAGAAACTGCTACCGAACAACATAGAGGTATTTCCACAAAGCAGCTTTTAAAAATACAGACTGCTTTAAATTTTTATATGATCAAATTATCTATCTAGAAATATTCTCTGAAAATAAAGTATCATTAAAACATTTACTACTCTATCAGGATAAATAAAATACTTTTGCCTCCACATAAGCAGCTTTTGCATACAGCTGGACCATTTAGCTCTGCTTCTATAGTACGATAAGCCAAAGTCTACCACAAGACTTAATTTCCCAAGAGCTGCTATTGTCACTGATGACACCTTGCATATAACAGATTATGCAGTCATGACTTGTGCCTAGGCTCATTACACTAAAGAAATGGAGGGGAGGGGGGAATCAAGTACTTAATGGGGGAAAAAAAAAATCAGAACTACAGAAGTTCACGTGAAACTATGTGCTTTAAAGAAGAGCTGAAAACAGTCACATGCTAGTTTAACTGGAGAGTTATACAGTAGTTAAAATTATTAGAGGGACAGCTTTCCTGCCCTACCTATTACTTTTCAACAAAGTTGTAGCACGATCCACATACAAAAAACATACCGCAGGTATGACTTGAAGGGCGTAAGTGTTGCCACGCACCACTCTCCTGTCATACATGAGGTTGGCATAACGAACAGGTTCCTTCTCTCTGCAACATCAGGCACAGAGAGGTGTGGTTACAGAGCTGCAACCCGTATGCTAATGCCTCAACAAGCCAGAAAGACTTTGAAAGGCCAGAGGTTCGAGTTCCCCCGAAGGGTTCCCCTTTCCCCAGGAAGGGCAGCGAGGGAGCTGGGGTGAGGGAGAAGGAGCGAAGGGCAGGAGGGGCAGCGGGGCCCGTTCGGGGCGCGCAGGCCGCGGGGCTGGATGGCGCG